TAAATTTTTGTGATCCAAAAACAACCAATTTTTCCACCATTTAATTCTTGAAAAAGCTGAATAAAGCTGTTTACAGCCTGAAAATCAGATCACATGCCAAAAAAAACAAAAAAAATGATCAAAAAATGACAAATTTGAAAGAATCCGTGAAGAACACTGTGCAACCAGTGTTCTTCACGGACTCGCCGATTCCGCACAGTGAATAGGCGAGTCACTGTGTGGAATCGTCCGGTTCTCTCTAGAACCGGACGATTCCCGATTCTTGAAACGATCCGGTCCATTTTCGTGAAATCCGAGTCGAACCGGGCGAGTCCGGTTCGACTCGGCGATTTTTTAAACGCTGAACAAAACAAATGAATCAATAAAATGGCCACCATCCACTAAAAAAATCCTATTAATCTTCCCATCTTTTGAGTATTTATCATTAAAGATAAACTAAAGAAGAAGCCAAAGCAGCAAGCATCGCACAATACCAAGCAAAAATGAAAGAAAGAAAACTAGTAAAATAACATCAGATTTGTGCATCTCTCTCATGCAAAGTAAATGAAAGACGCATACCTGCTTGGCTTTGTAACCCAGTCTGCGAGCCTTATCAGGGCGTGTGGGCCTGGTACAACGGACAATGGATGGGAGCTGCCTGTATTCCCAGCACCTCACCCTCTGCAAAAACCTCATTACATCCGACTGCTTCTTCCTCCACATCTCTGACACATACTTGTAGGCACCTAATGCATTCCCAAAAGAAAATTAATACAACCCAAATTTCGAACCTCAACAATAAATTACCATTCATCAGCTTATTCATACATGAGCATCAAAAATCCATACTTCGAAAGATTAAACAAAGAGGTAGAGAGAATGAGTGAGTGAGAAACAGGTCGAAGAGTGTCAAAATGCACTATAGAATAAAAAACTAATTTCACAAGTTAACTATATGTAAGTATACATCAGCATTTCCAAAACAAGCATTCAATAAGCCATATATAACTGAGAGGGCAGTATTTTATTTGCTCCATGAACAACTGCAAATCAACTGAGATTTCATGGAAACAGTGGAATGCTCTTGGCTGCACTTCGTAATCATTTTTCAAAGATTAAGATATGCATTACCGTAAAAGGTGCATTTCCATGCATGTGGATCAACTTGCACAAGTTACAAGGGCTCGAAAGGGTGCCAAACTCAAATTCAGGCAGTATATATAAAATACAAAGTGTATTTTACCCCGGCAGGTACCGTAGAGACTCGCCCAAGGGCTGTAAAACTCAAACAAGTAAATACCCAAGAATTGTAAAACTCGTGCAGGCTGACTCGCACACAGTGACAAATTAGGAGATCCAAGATTCCAACCTAGGATTTTCCCAATTTCAAGATCTCATGATTTCGTCGCAACGGGTAGTAAGTCTTCAGTGACAGCTGATACCTAAACCTATTTTGGGTTCTTCATCCAATCAAACGCTTATTTTACCCTAAAAAATTTGGATTTTTTATATTCTAATTTTTCAGATTCACTATCCATCCAAAAATTTTGAAAGCCCAGATCTCCAAAATGTGACTTGAAACCCAAAATGGGTTTGGGGGTTCGATTGGGGTTTCATGAGGAAGCTTTGACAAGCATCGAAAGCCTTGATTTGCATCAAGTGCCTATATCTCAGAACCAGGAGGTTTGCTCAAATTTTTGGGTAAGTTCTTTTTTACACTTTAAACCAATAAAATTGTTGTATCTGTTATATCATATGATCTAGTAGCAGTTTAGTTATTGTTGAATTTTATATTTTATGCACTCTTTTTTTGCTTTTTACATATTTCTTATTTTCTACCCATTCTTTCAATTCTTACTGTGTTTCAGGATGTTCCCCAGTTTTCTCAGGCTTGTCCCTTTTGCAAAATTGTCACAGATGCCAGCAGTTGACTCCTACTCAATGGAGTAACACGCCCATGAGAGGGGCCGAGTTCGGTGGCAGAAAAGAATTGTAAAACGTTGCACTTTCATACATGAGTAGCAAAATCTACAGACCCCAGCTCTAAATACTAAATACAACAATTCAATGCCTGAGCACCAAAATCTATCTCCTAATAATGCATTTCCACAGTTAAGCGCCCACATCTGTAAAACCTTAGTTCTAAACGATATACGTACTTTTCATAGTTGAGCACCAAATTTTACACGACCCTTACTCTTAACCCTCAGTAACTTGATTGGTAAAAAAAAAGCTGAAGAGAATCAGATTTTTACTTGCAGATCTAACACAACGTCCATGAAGATATGTACACTCATCGTGATTCTGCAGAACCCTGATTTCAACCCCTCTTTATAGGTTTCTAAAATGAGGATTTGTATACAAGAGCATCAAATAATCCATGGATGAGTAGCTCCAAACCCCAAAATTACATCTCTAGATGAATGCACCTAAATCTACATTAAACCCTAAACATTAATGTTCATCGTTGAGCACCAAAGTATACAGGAAACTATCTCCTAGCAATAAAAAATAAAACTATACAGCATCTTCGCTGAGAAAAAAGGAAAACAAATGACGTTTTCCTTACTAATCCAACAAAAAATACACAACACTGCAAAGCGATTCTCGCTCAGACGTTCTACAGAGCCCTAACTATACAATTCGATAAATGAGAAATTCAAAAACAAGCATCAACTAACCCATGGAACATTAATTCCAACTCCTAAACACGAATCTCCATATATGAGCGCCAAAATATGCAAAGCTCTAGGCCTAAACCCTAACACACATTTTTCAGCCAAAATGTACATAACTCCAACGCCTGAATATTAAATTTCACTGCTGGATTAAAGAGAGAAATAAAAACGATCGATATGCATTTTACTTGTTATAACATCAAATCTGCAAACTAGTTTTGCGTGACTCTGATTCCAGATCCAAATCGCCATGGAACATCAAATACATGCATGAATACAAACAGAAATAAAGGATCATTCCATTTCCCTACGGAGAAAACCTAACAACCATGATTCAATCCATATTATTCCACAGTAATAAAACCCTAAAATCCATGATTCAGATATTATTCCATTATAACAAAGCACATCATATTCAATTCAAATAAATGAAACCCTGCTCACCCATTTTCGCATAGTTCAGTGAGCAGCGGAGACGCACTGACAAATAAGGTTTCGTCTTGATTTATAAACGGAGGTTTATAAATAACGAGAGAGGATCGCGGCCTTCCATTTCTAAACGTTGGACCGTCGGATGGGAGATGCACAGAAATTATGCGTGAGACTCTCAATAATAACGATCTTGTCCTCAATATACACGAGTGACGGATTAAAGTACCATATTATAGTCTTTAAAACCCGAAAAGGACATTGTTTATGTTGATTAGTGTGGAGAGGGAGTGATAACGTTCCAAATATATCCTCACATGTTAACTTTATTATTTGTCTTAAAAACTTCAATTATTTTCTACCTTGTCTGGAATTTTCAACTTCCTTTGCTTTGGATCTTCAACTATTTTTTTCTTAGATGTAGAGAAAGACTTTTCATCCATTATCTTAGTTATTATTTTTTATGTTTCTCTCTACCTGCTTGAAGAAAATAAACTTTTTCAAGTGTAATGAGAAGAAACCATAATTAAATAATTATAATTAAAGAATGAGGAAAAGAAAGAGAAATAACCAAAAATGAAAATATCGGCGATAGGTACCTTTTTTTTAATTTCACAAGCAGCATATTTGAGGGTGAAAATTGATTTTATATATATATATATATAATATTTATCTTAAATTTAGGATGTATGTTTATTTTTATTAAATTATTATACCTCTTTATTTACAATTAAATTAAATAGAAATAACTTAAATTAATGTACCTCTTCAGTCTCCTCCAATGCCTAAGAAACTTTTTTTTTTTTTTTTAATACTTGGTGGAGATTATTTTTTAATATTTGGTGGAGAGAAGTTCGAAACTCATATGAAGAGATACTTGAAATGCTTTTATAGCCCAAAAAAGACAAAAGTAAGTTATTCAAATAATTGTCAAATAAGAGAACAATAATGAAGGATTATCACATTAGAAACATGTTATTCAAAATTATTGTCATATTGAAGGCAAAGTGATTCTAAATCAAGTAAAAAACATGCAAAAAGTGACTAGTTCATATGCATTGTAGACTACTGAACTTTGTTTTAAATGTGAAGTAAAAAATAGATTTTTTGGGTAAATCAGTGAGAGAATGCCCCTACCCATTTCTCATAAATAAAAATCAAAGCATATTACACCTCAAAGCCAAATGTGCAACATTAGGAAGTAAAATGAGAGAGAGAAAGATTGGAGGCCTAGTGCGCCAAACAGTGGTATTTCAAAAAATTGTGGCCCTATTTAGCAAGTAAATCTGCCACCATATTTCCCTCAAGGTAAACGTGACAAATTGATCATGAATGATTTGCCAATTTGTATTGACAATTGGAGGCAATAATATGAAGCACCTATGGTGATTTACAACGTCCACACATGGCTTGAACAAAGAAGATTAATCACTTTCAATCTATAGGGGAAAACATATGACTTTAACAAATAAAGATGAATCACTTTCGATCTGTAGGAAAAAACAGTTTATCTGAATAGCTAAGTCTTCCAAGGCACAAAATTCAATATAGTTATTTGATGTTATACCCAAAGGAATAGAGAAAGCCACAATAAAAGAAACATCATCTCTCTAATGACGAACCATCAACATTGAGCTTGTAATGATGGAGACGAAGAAAGGACCGTGCAATTGGTATTGGGGACTCGATCCTTTGTTATCGCCACATAAGTTATAAATTTTATGCTAGCGCCTTATCTGATATGTGGTAGGACCAGCCCTTAGCATTTGGCAGATCACAAACATAATAAGTGATTTGTTTGATCAACTGCTCACGCATGGATGCCTTTCCTTGAAAAATTGCAGTTGCGCTCCTCCCAGAGCATCCAAACAATCGTAAAGAATAATGAATACCAAATATAGAGAATCCCATCAGATTTGAACTTGAAAGTCACCGATTTCTACAATGTAGTTGCAATAGAAGAGTCCAAACTAAACCTTTTAACACACCTCCATGCAATCGATCTCTATATCCCCTACGAGATAACACAATCAAGCAAAAGATGACATTATCATCGTCAGAGTAACACAAAGAACCCACAAGAGCCATGCAGATCCCTCTCTGCTACATAAGAGATGAGGTAGGGAAACCATACCAAGAAAACCATTGCACCCTCGGATGGCGCTTGGAAGACCACACTGCTTTAAACATAGGTTGAGACGAGCCCGTACACCAAATATAGTGCCACACCTCCCTAACGGAAAATATCCCATTAGAAGAACGAATCCATATAAAAAGTTCATCTTGTGGTTTACAAGGAATTGTGAATGCCTCCACCTCCTTCCAAGCTCTCAATATAGGGCAAGATGTAAGAGAAAGAAGTTACCAAGTTTGAGAGGAACCTTGTATGTATTTGGTAACTATGGGTTTAACAAGGTCTCACAGATTCATATGGATTTGTTGACCATAAGGATCCATAATAAACCTCTCTGATAATCATGGATCTGCCTATAAATTCACTAACCTACCATCTCCAATAATCCATATGACATTACGGCGTAAGAGCGATAACTCCAATTGAATCCCCTCCCAAACATATGAACAACTTTTCCTATGGACTTCCCAAATAGATGAATTCTTAAAGTACATGTGCTTAAAGAACCGAGCTATTAGAGATGAAGGATTAGCCATGATCTTCATGCCAATTATATCATGCGTGCAGTATTGAATTATGAGATATCATGGATCCCAAACCCCCCCCCCTCATTTAGCATGAGGCATACAGTTGTTCACTTCCTCCCCCCCCTCATTCAGCATGAGGCATATAGTTGTTCACCTTCCCCCCCCCCCCCCCTCCCTCATTTAGCATGAGGTATACAGTTGTTCACAACCCCCCCACCCCCCCCCATCCCCCTTCCATTCAGCATGAGGCATACAGTTGTTCACTTCCCCCCCCCTCGTTCAGCATGAGGCATACTGTTTTCCACTTCGTTAGATGAAATCCCTTTTTGGCAACCATGCTTGCCCATACAAAAATTAACTGCAATCTCTCTATCATATTGCATGTGCACTTGGGTAAGGTAAAAGATAAAATCCATAAAATTGAAAATTGCTTATGAACCAATAACCGATTTTAACAATGGCAAACGACCAACATCAAATAAAACACAAAAGCCTGCCAAATCCTTATTTTACTAATAAGTTTCCCCATCAAGCTATGGGAATTATTATATTTCCTATTATCATGGAATAGAGCCCCAAGTACCTCACAAGGAGAGATCCTTCAACACAACCCAATTATTTTAAAATCAAAATGCTTAGAGCTTTGCGAAACCCCAAAGAAAAATGCCTTATTTTTGGAAACATTCAATTTTTGTTATGTGGTATTTTCAAAAGTCAATAGAATAAATTCCATGGTTTTAACAAATGTATTAGAGGTCTCATAAAAAATAACTCCATCGTTGGCATAAAAAATATATGAAACTCCATAATTGTAATCAGAAGGGAAAGCCAAAAGAAGCATACCTTGCGAAACCGCGTGGTTCAATTTTCTGCTTAAGAAATCCTTAACAAGTAAAAGTAAATTTGGGGATAAAGGGTCGCCTTGCCATATACCCTTTTACCCCTAAAAAATCATTTTGGAGAGCCATGATAAAGCATCGAAAAAGAGAGAGTTGAAGGCACATCTTATGTCTGGCCGAGTTCTTGTGCCACAAAGAGATAACTTCACTTGCCATCAAGATATTAACTATAATAAGTCTGCCCTTGAGAAAAGCCCCTTGTCTAGAGTCAATAAGAATATCAAAGATCTCCCTCAAGCAATCAGGGATGATTTTGCTAATGATCATATAGAAGACATTGCATAAGTCAATGGGTCTAAACTCCTTCATAATGCTGGGGAAATTGACTATAAGAATAACACAAATGAAAGTAATGTTTATCTGTTTTAGAAATCTACCTTATTGAAAAAGTATGTAGACCTCCAAAAAGATCTTTCTTGATCACCTCCCGACTAAAGTTATAGATTTCCACTGCAAAACCATCAAGACGTGGATCACTCTCACACTTCATACCCCAAATACAAGCTTTAATTTTCTCAAGAGAGACATCCTCTATAAGTTTCATTTGTTGGTTTGGGTTGAGCGTTGAAGATGGAAGAAAATGATCAATCAACTCAAGATCTATATTACTTTCTTGTGCAATCAAATCATCAGAAAAACTAACCATATGATCCTCAATTTGTTTTCTCAAAAGAAATAGAAATCCCATTTTGGTCTTTGAGTAAGGTAATTCGATCATTCCTCCTCCTAATAATGGTGGATAAATGAAAGAATTTTGTATTAGAATCTCCATCATTCAACCAGGTATGTGTTGATTTTTGCCTCAATATATTCTCTTCTTATAATAATAGTTGTTGTGGATTTTGAGTACATGCTTTCTCCTCGAGCATCAAATTTTCATTAACACGTTTACGACTTAGGCCATTTAATAGATAGCTTTAAAAAAAGATCGACTATTTTGTCCCCCACATGTTTGAAAGAGTTATCGTTCCATTCTCGAAGGTCCTAACAAAGCCGAACATGGGCGTATCCCTAGCCTTGCCATTCCATTAGTAAGAGATAATATCTAAGAGGCTTGTAAAGTAAAAAATACAGGTACAAAGAGTGAATAACAGTCGGAATCAATAATTTATAAGAAAATTTGAAGTTTCAAAAATAGTAAAAATTAAATAAATAATATAAATACATAAAATCTTGGAAATGAACATGATAATGTGATGCATGATCCACTATTTGCAAGACTCAAAATCACTGTTTCCTATCCCATGGTGGTCTAGATGATCAACTGGAGGGTTTTGAATAACCTTTTTTTTTTCAGAATTTTTCATCTTATATTTCTATAATATAAAGTTGACCCTTTATATAAAATCTTTTGTTTTATTTATGTATTTTTATTTTTGAAATTGATAATAGGAGGAACAATTTTTACAGAAGAATTACTGCCACAACGCCCATGCTTTAGCCTTGTGTTCCCGCGAATGCAACTCCACCTTCCCCCAGCTCTTATAAATATCCAGAAACTCACGCTCTATCTCTCTCTCATTAATCACTCTCTTATAAGAATCAGTAAGTAGTTTTGATAGAGAGAGAACCAGGAAGTACTGAAAGTCTTCCTCCTTTCCTGTCTTTCTCTCTCTAGAAATGCGACCGAGTTGGGGCAGGACTCTAACAGAGCTCTACAAGCTCGGATCAAAAAAGAAAATGGAGATGCCAAGATACTTATCTCCCATATTCAGCTGTAGCTATGCCAAGGTCGTTGCAGTTGCTGAAGAGAACCCTAACCCTAATCCCAGTCCAAATCCCCAAGTGAATTATGGCCAGTTGCAGGTATACAAGAGGCAATTATTTTGCTCCCAGTTTCTGTTTTTTTTTTTTTGTGGTTATTCATGCAATGGATCAATGGATTACGTGTCGTGAATATGCAAATTGAATTTGGATTGGTCTTTTTTGGGTTATTTATCTGATTTTAATTTCGTTACTATAAGAATTGAACTAGTTTATCTTTGGTTTTCTCTTATTGGGGTATTGATACTGCACAATGTGAACTGTTTTTTTTAGTTTTTCTTTATTTTGATTCTTTGTTTTTCTGCAAAGTTTTTATATACAAATTGAACAGTTTCTTTGTGGTTCTTTGTTATGGTTGTTATTTGTTACCTTTAGATTTAATTTATCAAAAAAGCTAACTTTTAATTTTTACAAAATATCTATGATCTCACTGCTAATATGCAGTTTAGTTTGATTTGTTGAATTTTTCTAACACTGAGATGAAGTAAAATATTGTGATATAATATTGTGTTGATGTGGGAAATAGATACGGAGTTGCTTTGTCCTATGGTTTTTGAACTGGCTATTGACGGAGAAATTTGAGTTTCAGAAAATAGATCTTAGTAAATGGTTTCAATTGTTATAATTTAGAATGTGAATGGAAAGGTAAAGCTCATTGAGGAAAAACTATGATACTTTTATGTCCTCTTGAAAGCAATGGGATGTTAATATTGAATATGGATGTATCCTTTTGAGTGTTTTGGTAAAAAGCGTAAAAGAAAGTTGATATTAGTTTGTTATGCGTATCATTTATTCCACAACTGTCTGGTCCAATAAATTTCCATCTGTTATTTTCTTTCAAATTGTTTTGCTTTAATTCCAATTTTGGAGATACAGTGATTAAATAAACTTTCAACTTGGAATAATGGAGTTTTTAAAATTTCATATGGCTGTCAGTTAATTTCAATGTTGGATCTCATGGCTGCTCTGAAATACAAATTGTGCTGCTTTTCTTTCCAGCATTGTGCTGAAGCTGAACTATGGCATGACAATGTTTCATTGATCACAAACAGTTTCAGTGATGATGGTGTTGATGGTTTTTTTTTTGGCAGCGTTCTGTATGTCTTTCGAGGTTTAGGGCGGGAATTGATGTTTATAAATGGGGTTTGGATTATTGAGAGGTAAATGTCAAGGATTGTTTTTAATCTTAGGGGAATAGAGTTCTATTCTGCCCTTGTTGCAAGGGGGACCTCAACAATGAGGAGATTGGTATATTATGATAAAGAAAAGAAAAGGAGTTTGGAAAGTGGAATACTTTGCTAGCTTGATTACATAGGTTTGGTTTAAATCCCAAGGGTAAAGGTCCAGTAGGAGAGCTCAGCAATGTCAGAGTTTTGGGGTTCTCTCACAGATGTAAAGCAGGTGCATCATGGTGGATTGGTGGAAGAGGCTTATGGGATTAGTGAATCATTGGTGTTTCCTTTTATCATGCACTTAGATATCCTAACAAGATCTTTGGCTCCCTGTTCAGGAAAGGGGTGGCTAGAGGGGAGCTAACTATTAGGTTGACACTCAATTTTGGGTACATCTAGTTGGATTGATGGCTCTCGCCAAGTCTTGGATGAATAGACTATATTCATCTGCTTCTGAGCATGTCATCTTCTCTTCAGCATGACTAGCTAAAAAAAGAAAAATCTGCTCTTGAGCATGCATGAAATTTTGTAATGCTACTCCCCCCAACTCTCCGCGCACCCCCCTCCCCCAAAAAAAAAGAAAAAAAGGGAAAAAGAAAAAAGCCCATACCCTCCCACCCTACCCAAGTAGTTGCTATGCTGTTTCGCTTCCTCTTTCTCTACATATATTTCTGCACGTGCATGCACTTTCAAGCATCTACATATATGCTATTCCATTGTTTCATGTTAAGTGGGGATGAGAAAACCTCCATTTGATGGCTTACATCTCAATGAAATGGAGTCATTGATGGGTACTCTAGCCCCCCCCCCCCTGCCTTTTTTTGTACTCTAACACCATACAGCAATACAAAAGTTAACTTTCTCTCAAAAAAGAAGAAGAAATGGAGTCATTGATGATATTAATATGTTCTTCTTTGAGAAATCTTTGTGATTAATGAAGCACCAAGTCGTTTTCCATATACTTCTGTTAAGCATTAGCACTAACTTGGCATTATCTTCGTTGCACTTGTGGTCAAACTATAGTGTTCCATTTATTCTATGTTATGAAGAACTCTTGGTCATTTTCAAAATTTGATCAGTATCTATGTGACTGTTTCTTTGGCATCTCTAAGTTCATTTGTTTGTGGGTGCCATGTTCACTTTGCAATAAAAGAAAAGCAGCGAAGAAAAGGAAAATACAGTTTAATTTATGAGAGCCTTTAGGTGTGGCAAGACAAGAAGGGATAGAATTTGAAATGAATACATTCGAGAAAATTTAGGTGTGGCATAGATAGGCGATAAGATGAGAGAGAGTAGACTTAGGTGGGTATGTATGGTGCAGACCCAGTACAACACCTATTAGGAGGTGCAAGTTGGTTATAGTGAAAGGCTAAAAAAGGACAAGGGGTAGGGTAAAAAGGACATGGTTGGAAGTAGTGAGAAAAGATATAGGGATTTATGACCTCACTTAGGGTATGACCCTTAATAGAGCAGAATGGCGGACTAGGATTCGTGTAGTTGACCCCAATTAGTTGGGAAAAGGTTTTGACGATGATGATGAATTTATGAAACCTTTATTTAGCAATGGCAGCTTATAGTTACAAATTAGAAAAAAAAGAAGAAGAAGTCAAAAGCCATTTGTAATTTCCTATATTTCTGCTATTATTTGAAGATATCAATTTTGCCTTGTTAAAATTTCTCAGGTATAATTTGCTTGTGCATGCGTGACTTTATTTTTTCTTCTCTCTTGTACATCTTAGGGACATGGATTCTAATATTTATGCCAATGATTTTCAGTTTTTTTTGCTTATATCCTTCTTATGCTAAATCTTGGTTTCTGTTTATTATTGCAGGTCAATTTAAATAAAATGTTTTGGTCTAAGCCATGTTCACTGGCATTGGCTCTTGACTCACCTTTGAGAGTAGAAGAACCAAAATATGAGGGATTTAAGTATATAATGATGAAATTATTGCTGTTTTACAGTAAACAGAGCAGATCTATTAGAGGGGCAAATGTGCTCTACCGCCGGATCATTTCACAGGTGGACACTCCTGCCATCTATGATGGTTAGTTTGTTCTAAACTTCTATTATAGTACAATGGTGTAGATAGTGGCTTTCTTTTCTATTGTTTATGCTGCTTGGCTTATGTACGTCCTATCAACTTTGATTCCTGAACTTCAACCATCTTAATATTCAAAATGATGTCAGTGTATATTGTTGGTTATAATTTTTTGCAGTTTGCGCGGCTTGTAGTTTCCCCTGCAGTGACTGAAATTTCTCTTTAATATCTTTTTTTTTTCTTTCCATTTGGTGCCTTGTTAATGTGAAATAAGGTTTGTAGCATACTTGATGAAACTCAACTCGTGTGATGTTGCTTCTGGACTTCTTTAAACTCAAGATTTTCAAAGGTAAAAGTAAAAGGATTGTGTTCATTAACCTATGGAAAATTTTTACATCATCCCCCGGTACCATTGTAATATAATGATTGTGTTCATTAACTTAGATGGATGATCAAGTATGGAGGAGTTCAAAATATATATAGGGGAGTAATTTCATGAAAGGGTGTTCCATTGTAATATAATGAAACGACACCTTCAAACCCATGCTAGGGGCATTCTTTTGAGTCCGAATTTCAAACACTCTTTTCATCCGCCCTCTCCTACATCTTATTCCCTCTCTCCTCTCACCTTCTCTTTTTTCCCCTGCTCTCTCTCCCACCTCTTTTTTTCTTCTTCTCCCTTTCTTCGCTCTGACTTCCACTTTTATCTATGTTCCGTAATCCCTCTCTGTTTTCTCAGCTCTACCTCCATACGCTCTCCTGCTGCTATCCTCATCTCTCTCCATCTGCAAACCTCCATCTCTTATCTTTTTAGAGACCTGAGGGGTGTTATATGTCATTTGATTTGTTCTTGCTTTATTTGCACTCATTTGGGCACCTGGTATGTGGATGCCTATAACCACACTTTGTGGGTTTTTTAAAGAACATACTATACATCTAGGATTTAAAAAGTAATGAACTGTACCGGAACCGGCCGGTTCGGATCGGGAATCATCGGGGCCGGTCCAATCTTGCCTAGGTATCAGGAACTGGCATTCCCTCTGGTAACCTGCTGGATTTGGCCGGTTTTGTCAAAGAATTGTTCCCACTTTATTTTCTGCTTTTTTTTCCAACTTTTTTTAGTTCCCTATGTTTTTTGAAATATTTTTATTCGCCAGTTCACTAGGTGTGATCACCGATCCGGATCACTGATCGAAACTGTTTTTCTGAAAGTGCGATCCAGGTCACCAAACCATGTTTTTAAACCTTGCTATATGTTAATATACTGTAACCAGTTTTTCAAAAAAAACATACACTCTTTTCATCTCGATGAACATTATCAAAAAACAAAATTTTGAAAAAGTACCCCTGATTTTTTTTTTAACACAATGAATGCAGGCCGTCCATTTGAGGGGATGTTTAGATTTGGGGCTTGGCATAACTTTTTTGACCCTGAATATTTAGGTTGCCTTATCATCATCATATGAACCTATTCAAGAAATAAAAAATTGATTTTGAATTCGTAAATGCTAAATGTTTACTAAATGGATGGCAAGTATTCATTGTTGGAGTTAAACACATTTAGATCTTTTCTAGGGTGCAAATTTATTGATTTATCTTTATGAGGCTGCTACTTTTCGAAGGAGCAGTCTTATTATTACTATGAAACAGTTGCATGAAATCACTCCCCATACATGCATAAAGACATACATACATATAGATGGAGGAAAGCTACCAATAGCTTCAATAAGAAAGATCTACCTTCCAACCGTCTGATGGAGGAGTGTTTCAGTCAGTGACTTTTATTTTTCTACAAATCAGATTGGGTTGAATCTTTGAGTGTGTGCCTTTCATTTAGGTGCACCTGAAATCATAACAACATAATTAAAAATCAAATGACCAAAATGCCGGCAATGTTTCAGGTTTTTATGATCTTTTTATTTTTTTAAATTATTTTTTTCCTGGTGCACAAGGGTGAGAGGTACACATACCCAAGACTTCAGCTCTATCCTATCCATAAAACAAAAATTGAAATTCATGCAGTGTTCTGCATTCCCAAATGTTTGATGGAGATTGGATGGTTGGGAGGTAGACCTTGTACTGTACAAGTTAGTTCTGGAGCTATTGGTCGGTGGGCAGGGTGTGGGTGTGTGTTTGTGTTTGTGGGTTTGTTTGGGGGTGTGTGTGTGTGTGCTTGTGCGTGTGTGCATGTGTCAAAATTGTTCACTATGCAAATCTAAGATCATGTGCAAACTTTTAATGAAACAATCCTCCTAACTTGGTGCTGGGAAGAATAAGTGAATAGTATGGTCCAGGGTCCTGTACAACCATGCTATGTGCACCTTAAACTTATTTGGTCTTTGTTGTGCCTTTCAGGAATTGTAGTCAAAACAAACTAAACATCTGAATGTACTATTGTACTTTGTGATGAGTATTTCTTCTAATCATTTGTGATATTTTTCTTTGAACTTTAATCCTTTCTTTTTTCTTGCCAAGTGCATTTCATGACAACAGGGAAACCAAACGTACCCAAAATGGGGCCGGGGGTGCAGGCTGATGATTTTATTTTTTAGTCTCAAAAAGATTTAAATGCCATGTTATATGATGTGACAAATTATTTATCTTTCAGGTTGCTTGTGCTTGTGTTCAATAGTTTTTTCATCGTTATCCTAAACAGTTGTGTTGCTCTAACATAAGCACCTACATTTGATGTGTGATTAGAAATACTTTCCACTTATGATACTAATTACCTCATTATTATTTGTGGTTATCTAATTTTGTCTTTCTTTGTGATTCGCAGTATTTTATTTGGAAAAAACCTTTAGAACGACATTTACTCTACTTGTGTTGCATATGTGGCTTTGCTTGCGCCGATTGAAGGAAGACGGAAAAGATGGTGTTGAGTTTGGGCAATACTTGTATGAAATCTATAATCATGACTTGGAATTAAGAGTATCAAAAGCCGGGGTTTGTGACTTCTCTCTTATTGAGTTGCTTGTGTTTTATGGCTTAAAAGAACTATTTCGTTGCCCCTTACATAATTTCTCTAGAAGAAGTATTTCATGGCTGTTTTGTGGAAGGGTGTTTTATGAAAAGGCTAGAACTAGGCTGGAAATAGGGACCGGTATTTTTGTAAGGGGAAATTGTATTATGATCCCATGGCCTATGGAAGACCATTATCCATTGGGGATTTACTGTTTGAGGACATGATGCATAGAGATCAAGAAAGAGATGGGGAGCCCACATTGGGTTCATAGCCTGTTCTGGGTGGGTCTCGCTCTCCATCTCCGCCCATCATTTCATTTGTTGGTTATGACCTTTGTGGACTACGAATATTATAGTATACTCTCTGTACGGTACATATGATCTTAGTCCAGCATTTCTCATGTTCATTTATTGAACCATTTCCATCAAAACTTTCCTAGTTGCATGAGGAACTTAGTAAGTGAAGAACCTGATTGTGCATATGAGTTCTTTCGTGTGATATCCATGCCTGTTTAATCAGGAAAAGAAATATATTGAACTAAAAAAGGTGAGGCCTGGGATCAGTTTTTCCCCAAAGAAGTTACTTCACTTCACTGATAAATACCAAAAACAATATGTGAGAAAAATACCAAAAGCAAATTGTGATAGAGGCATTTCTTTGGACTTTTATGATATGAATTATACCATGTCAATTGGCCATGGGGTTTATTGCTGCTGTAGTAGAAGTTATGAGCGATTGGTTGTTTTATGTTAATCCAGGTTTTGTTAACCTTTTGATCTTTTCCTTCTCTGGAATTTGAATGGCAGGTCAATTTGCTACTGACAAAATGGATGAAGGACCTTGAGAAGATATTCTATGGTAATATAGTGGCATATGATGCTGCCATGCTAGCTGATGCAACCAAGGACAAACTTCCAAATGTGATTTGGCGGTAAGGTATCTTTGCTCGTTTAAAACACCAGATGGTTAATTTGAGCTATTTTGACCAAAATCTCTTTAAGTAGTGGCCCTTGGACTGAACTTTATAATGGACTTGTGGGATGACAATTAACTCATACAGGTTTTAGTAAGGGGAAGTATAAATTGTCTTAACTGTGGAAAGATAATAATCCATAGCATTATGACTAGCCATTGAAATGTTGGATGGTAATGAAGAGAGTGGGACCTGGCAGTACAAGACTAATCAGAATGGTTGATCTATGCTTCCTATTGGCCTGCTTTATTTCCTATATTATTCGTATGCTTGAAATGAGAAATCACATCAATGATAAATTACATTGTTTTAACTTCTCAAGCGTCGTTCATTTTCTTAATCATGGATGAAAATTGCAAGAACTTCATCATTGTTTAATAAGTTGCTTCGGATTTTCCTAAGAATGGCTCCTTCTTTTCAAGAACTCCCATTTTTTGCAATGAGCAACTCCTGTTGTTTTGTTTTTCTGTACGTGGCACTTCCTTTGCAAAAATTACTATAGAAAAAAAGAAAACTCCCTTGTGAAAATTGCAACTCCATTTGTTCCGACTGTTGCTTGAGTTTCTTGGATGCCTCCACATTTATGAGCTCTAGGACAATAACTGGCCTCTAACCACCATCCAGACTCATGGATTTGAGTAAATCTAGCAGAATCATTAATGCTTTTAATTCCACATGATTTATATTCTCAGTAATACTGTCTTCATGATAGAAACACACACACAAACACACACATACACACACACACACACACACACACACACACACACACATATATACATATATGCACCCTTTGATATTTAGAACCTATGATAATTATGAATTTATGTGCCTTACATATGCTTGCTATTACCTCTAAGAAAAGAAAAAAGCTTTTTTATTTTATTTTATTCTGTTTGATTATTGGAATGATTCTTTTTTCAGTTAGGGATGGATTTTTGTATTCTGAAGGCTAAACTTTTTATCATCATCCTTCTTTTTTCTAGTTGAAAAATTTTCACCTATGATTGACAGGAATGTCTTCTCGGATGATGGGTCTCAGATGCCAAATGATTCAGCAGCAAATGCAGCCCAGGTAATTCCATGCTCTTTGCATTAACTTAATGTAACATGTACTCGAAACAAATGTAAAAAATCCTAAAAAAAAATCCCTTTATTTATAGGGTAAAAAATTAACATCCTAATTGTAGCCAAGCTCAAAAAAAAAAAAAGAACAAAAAGAAAAAGAAAAAAGAAAGGTAGCAAGGTTTGTAAGAATTGTATCATGTTTTAGAAATTGAATATTCATGAGGAATTGGAATGGCCCTCTTCCTTTATTTCATTGCTAACATTTTCTTGGGTGGGTTCCACTAAAGCCTTTATGTGTGTGTGTGTGTGTGTTGTGTTTGTGCATGCGTGAATGATGAATTGAAATCATGAGAGTTTGTGTTGTTTTTTTTTGGTGGTGGGGGGGAAGGGGGGGGGGGGGCGCGTGGTGGTGTGGGTTTGTGTGCATGCGTGAATGTGTGCGTGAGTGGGTGAGTGAGAGATTGAGATGTATGATAATCTGTATCTGAGAGAGGGGGTGGTTAATTGCACAACTCTCTAGCTCGTCTTTCTTTAGATGTTACTTTATCTCCTTCAGAATCTTGTATATCGCTCCAACTGGATGGAGTTTTCTAATTTTCTTGGTCAATGCAACTGTTAAAGTGCCTTCATGGCATTGTACTTCTCTCTCAATCAATACAAAGTTAACACGCTCAAACTAAGAAAGTGCCTTCATGGTATCTTTATGTTTTGTTAGGCCATGGCGAGGTATGCTAGGAGGGAGTTGGCATGCTTATCATTAACAGGTAAATCACTGTTTTCTTATCAAAATATGCAAAAGAAACGATTAAACATATGCTATCATCTTATCTGTTGTTGAAACAGGTGTGTTGGATTACCTTCTCTTTTAATTATTTTTGTATCTTTGTTGTTTTAAGCTGTCATTCAATAAAAAGCAGTTTTTTCATTTACTCTGAAATGTGGGTTCTCATATCTGCAGACAAAGAAACACTATTTTCTGGCAACTTTATGTTTACTTCACTCAAAGGATCGCCAGACACATTAGAACCATCGGTATAATTTCTTGGTAAGGACTCAGATTATTTTTTCCCCCACAGAAAATAATAATTTCATGTAAAATTTCTGGGAATTCTCCAATTATCATTTTCCTGGATCTCAGGTAACCAGTCTTTAGAAGTACAGACTCGGGCTCGGAATCGCCAGGTACCTACAGATGACTCGGACTTCCTCTACTCTGTTGAGCCTTAATATAAAGTTCAAAGGATTTAAAGATTACTCATCTGGACCTGGCAGCCTGCAGACTCGGCCTAGTTCGAGCCTGAGTCAGGAACTTTTTTAAACTCTGCATGGAACAAAACATTTAGAAAACACCTACCATCTGCTGGGGAGATGGCATTTGATTGGAGCAGAGTTATTTATTGGAATTACCCATTTTTCTATTCATTTTCTTTTTTCTTTTGGATCCTACATCAACATGATTGAGTTTATTCTCCTCCAAGGGCCCTCTCTCTCTCTCAGGTGGTAAGGCCAGTTGAAGAACACCTACACCACAGTGTTTACAAACCTAACAATTATGAGTTAAATGACACAATGCATCATTGGCTTGTTTTATACTCGTGTGAATTCTTAATGTTCTAATAAATAATCGGTCTGATCGAGCCAGTTTTTATTGGATTGAACTGGGTAGAAATTGGTCCGGTCGAGCCAGTTCTATTGGACCAGGTCCTCCACTCCAGTTTTAAATGCATTGGGAGCTTCTCCACTTTAGTAGAACTCAGGGCCTTAGACCCAATAATGGAAGCTGAGTATTTGAAAGAATTTTGCTTGGTCATGTTCACATTTGTGCATGCATATGTGGTTGGGTAGCTGAAGATGCATAACAATGATTTATCTTTTTCTCTGAGTTTTTTTTTTGAGAGTGAGAGAGACAGAAATTCCCCAACTTCAAATTTGGGACTATTGAAAAATAATTGAAAATATGTATTAACTTCCTATTGACAATTTTGTGTGATTGTGGTCAAGAAAATTGTTAGTCTGAAGTAAATTATTACAGCTTCTATTGAGAGTCTCACTCTCTCTCTCACACACACACACTCATATACACACGCTAGTATAAGTAGGTTCTGTTGTGCAACTTGATTGTGAAGCCTTTGTGAACTTTGGAGGTGGGATTTTTGGAAAACATTTTAAGAAAAAGCTGAATTTTTGGAGAAAATGAAATACTGTCTAATCATTCGTTGTAAAAGTTTCTCCAATAGACTGAGAAAAGTTACGTTAAGCGTCTTTGCTATTTTGGACAAATTAGCACCACCTCATTTATCCACGTCATAGTTTTTTTCTATCCCCCAATTATTAAGAAAATGTCACCAAAACAATATACATAGGGGAGTGATTTTATGCAAGTGATGTATAGTTATATAATGAAACAATCTTTAAAAATTATATTAGGGCCATTTGTTTGACTCAAAACTTTAAATATACACTCTTTTCATTTTAATGAACAATTACAAAAAAGGAAAATTTGAAAGCACAATTTAGAAAATATTTTTTTAACTCAATTAACATAAACTATCTATTTTGGTGAGATGTTTAGATCTATGTCTTAAAAGGATCTTTTTTCTTTCCAAAATTGTTAGATGACTTTATTGTCATTAGATTAACAACGTTATAAAATAAAAAATTGATTTTGAATTTATAAAGGTCTAGATTTTAAAATTCATCAAATAGATGGTTTATATTCATTGTTGCAGGGGATTTATTTTGATCATATATAGGGTGTAAATTAAAGATTATTTTTATTGAGATTGATTATGAAATGAAGAGAGTGTCTCTACTATAATTTTTAGATTCATACAAATACCATAAACATGGTTTTCTAGTAGTAAGGTTTCTATTATACTATAATGTATATGGTGT